ATTAATATGACCTCAAAAGTGTCCCTATGTCTTCAAAAGTGTCTTTTAATATATATAATTTAATAATTTGCATATATGTCACCATTACTTGTTCATGAATATAACAAATTAATATGACTTCAAAAGAGTCACTTAATATTTTTAATTTAATAATTTGCATTTATTTTGCACGCACTAGAAATACATATATGAACTAATTTTCATCACACTTTCAAATTAGCCTTAGTCACTAAATCTTAGCAATCTCTAAACGAAACTTTAATATGTTATAAATATTAAATTATAAATAATATTTTTTGTGTTTGTTAAAACTATTTTGTAGGTTACATTATACGACCTGTATATATCATTTATTTATAACTTAATATTTATATAATAAACTATATATCCCTTCGGTGTTTAGTGTCTGCTAGCATTGCTGTCATTTCACTATGCTGACTTACTACATCGTCACATGGGATACACACCGAGCATAACCCCCTATCTTACTGCATATACGCTCTGGGACACTTTTGAAGTCAGGGACACTTTTGAAGTCTTAACACACGTGTAACATCAGATGTTTACTTTTACTCTCAGTCCTGAACACAGGTGGCGCTAGACCGAGATAAACAATAAAATAAGACACGCACGGTAATTATATACCCCCCCAAAAAAGACAAATCTTACTGTACATGTATTATTTGAAGTATTCGTAAACAAACAGCATGCATTGATTACTAATAACATTGGAAAAGTGGAATGTGCTTAATATTGTATCAATAATTATGGATCTCAGTACAATTTTAAATCTACAGATGGGTTACAATGTCAGGCTATCATATTTGCTGAAAGCGTGAATACTTAACAAATAAACACAATCAGACAACCCCTTTGACAAAGTTTAAAATATTTCATTCTTCAGTACTTATGCGACATTTAACCAAGATGGATTTTACCAAAGCGAAAAAAATAGTATCCGACATCATAAACTTTGGAGCATTACTCAAACGGACAGTGAAAACAGAATTGAGAGGGCGTTTCTATACTGAATGTAAATCGTATACATTAACACTCCACATCGGAGAGTCAGTCAACCCACATAATTGCTAAATATATTCCTAAATCCTGAGATATTTCTTCTTTTCAGCTCGAAAAATATAGTAGACAGTCCCATAACAATCCTTTGTAGAACAACATATTAACGTAATCGAATGTACTGTGAAACTGATATTGTCATCCATATGTATTCATACATTTTGCTTTATTTTGATTCGTAATGATTGCCCACGCGTTTGCGCATGCGCTCTCATTATGACCATTCTAGTACACATAGGCCTCGCACACACGGACTAGTACAAACAATATTTTTATATTTACCATATTTTTGTTTTGCCAAATAGATATTGCTTATATTTTCGTCAAACACTCAAACACAGTTGGAAGTTTTTTTTTAATTTAAGATTTTTGTGAGCTCGGTTATTATAATACTAGGCTATTTATAAGCATGTCTCTGTAAATCGCTAATCCGTATTTACGTGCTGACCTTTCAACGTGTGAAAAATTAACTCAGATTATTTTGAATATTTAAATTATCGTGTTAATCAATTCAACATTGAAACGTGATTCAGGTTACATTGAACATAACGATACAAAACTCAAACTGTACACGATGGCGTCGATGGAAAG